TTGTGGTATATTTTGTTTTTTAATAAAGCAAATTAAATGCTGAAAAACTGAAATACAAAACGCGGCCATTCATTATGCCCCACGCGTTAGTATGTTCATGGAAGACTATAGTACGGTCAGCAATAAAAGACTAACATAAGTTTGCCACTTATGTATATTCCTTATATTTCAACATTTTTTGAAACCTTTTACTTCAAGACCCCAATTTTGTATCTGGTCTGCAAACTGAAGTGCGCATAAAAACAACATTATTGCTAGAATTTTTTCCAGCAAACTGTTGAAACCTAAGAGATTGATGGAATTTCTAATGTGCGAAATATTATCCAATATATTTATTTGTTTATTTAAAAAGCATTATAGAGGTCGTTCTCTTAGACGGAATCGTTACTCGAATTAGTTCGCGAGTAAATGGGAGTGCGACGTTTGTACTTTTGTAAATTATACAGATAACTGTTGAAGATATTCTTGGATATGGAGAAGTCGAAATAGAATTTTTTTTTAAATTCCATTCGGGATAGAAAGAAGGTGTTTATTGTCAATAAGAAAAGATCGCCCAAAGCTGTTAAGGGTACAAATAACAACAAAAATTGAATGCGTTCAAGAACATTAGTTTTACATCGAGTTTAAAGATCACTTTGATGCTTATGATATACAGCGTGTTTCATACGTTTTGAATCTCAACAGAATTAGTTTATGTGCACACAGAAAATGATATCGAACTGAACATATCTATATGAGATTTGAATACTCCTGTTGATGTTTCAAATAATATAATATTGTATTACATCTTGTCTTGTGGTAGTAGTAGCGTAGACATAAGAATGTGATGATCAAGTTTTCGAATTCGACTAACAATATTTTGTTTAAATTTCTTAATAAAGCGATAAACACGTTTGACTTAGAACAAAGCTATACTAGAAATCAATAAATAGTTGTCATAATCGTTTATTTGAGATTTCTCAAGAGTCACTGAACATATGATCTCCAAACTACATACTAAATAAACGATTTGAAATCAACCGAAATATATGAGCAGACTATGCGCAGAATGAAAAAAAGAAAATAAAGATCATGTTACGTAGGGTAGTCAAAAAGTTCTGCAACTTTACTATATCTATTCATAGGAACCATATTCCATCGATCTTTCTACACCATATATTCGAGATAGTTATTGTAATGTTTCGTGGGAAGTTTCATCCTTTTAACTTACTCTTGTGATATCTTTTTGAAGTAAAGAATAGATAATGAATTGACCTCCTTCGTTATTGAAGAAATTTCGCTAGTTTTTAAGCCCTGAAAAGTTTGGAGAAGTTTCTAAGTGATGAACAGAGATTATGTGATACCATGAGTAGCTAGCAGACTTAGATGTGCTATCGCAATATTGAATCAAAATCACTATCGAAACTCAAACCAGCAAGAGAAACTAGTCTGGTAAACGACATTTACTGTTAACAATATAAAAAACGATCAAATATGCCAACTTTTTTATGACATTCGGGTCATTATTTATCATATAGTAGTCTCTATGGTAGCTAGTATTAATTTCTATATTAGTGATAAATATTTAAATTTACAAATAAAAAAGTTACCGTACAACATAGTATTGTCATGCTCTAATCCCATCAGTTTCCATCATGGTTTTTTTGAGCAATATATAAACTGACGCCATTATGTACTTCAGAGTTGAATGGAATGAAGTTAGGGATTGCTAAGCGTACTCACTTAGGACTCCGCTTTCAGATTCTTAGTTGTTGAAATATATTCAAGGTATACTAAATAATCACTAGCCATCACAATTTAGCAGGGGTAATAACCAAAGAGGCCAATTCAATATCTATTCTTTACTTCAAAAGGATATCTGAAGAGTAAGCTAAAAGGATGAAACTTCCCATGGAATATCATAATAACTATCTCGAATATATGGCGTTGAGTGATCGATGAAATGTCGTTTCTATGAAAAGGTATAGCGAAGTTGCAGAACGTTTTGACTACCCTATGTGCAAACTATTGCTGAATTATTTAGTACTCGAATTTTACCTCGAGATGATGATGCAAAATCTGCAGACGTATGGTCTGTTAATAAAGAATGGATAAAAATAACGAGTGACGATTATAACAGAAAGCTTGACAAAGTTTCTAAACGACTTTGTGAAGCAATGAAAAGTATTACTTTATTTTTTTTGATATAAAATATTTTAAGGCAATACTTACGGGATTAAAATGTGAAACACGTTAAAGGCACTTTAAATATTATTGAACAATTTAGCCGCCGTATCTGTTACAGTTTGTGACGAGAAAAAACTCATAATGTCAAAACACTGTCCAGGTGTCACAGACTGTGATAGACACCAAAAAAACTCTGTAGATTCGTAACAGACCGTAATCGATGTGTTGATTTGTCTGTCACAATCTGTAGGATAAGCTGGGGAGAGTCACTTTTCTCGCTATATACTTCAACACTCATTAACAATGATATTTAACAAAATGTTATTGAACGATTTCTAACAATTGATCATCACAGTCTTATGTTTATGCTAGTATTATCTCTAGAGAATGTGACACAATAGCATGTAATTTAAAACATCGACACAAGTGTTCACATCTCATATAGATACGTTCATTGTGTCTATATACATTCATTTTGTCGGGGTCTAAAACTTAGGAAACAATTTATATTGTCGAATGCATCGAGTGTACTACGCTCTATAATATGAAAGTGTTTTGTTCGTAGTTTTTCGATCTGTTTTTGATATATTCACCGACGCTGCAAGAATGATTTGTTACTCGAAGTTGAGTAGAACAGTAAATAAATTTCGAAGTCGCTTAGGACGACTTTCCAAAGGACGAGGGTATCTTTGCGAAAAGTGTACAGAAGACCTGCGAAAGTAGCAAAATAATGAGCTCAATCTCTAGTCCATAAGAAAATCTATAGAAAGTTTGTCGAAAACATTAACAAAATAAGTTTCTACGTTTGCATGTTGCTTTGTGTTTATATCAGTGTTTCAATTCAATTGTAATTGAGCTCAGGCTTTTTACTTTCATGGTTTAGAATATCCTCTACAAATTTTCTTTTGACAGTTTTCAGGAGGGTACTTTCGTATTTCAGAAAGTCATGAAAGAGCGATTTCAAAGCGTTGCCAGATTCGCTGGGGTATTAGCGAAAAATTGTTTTTGTCAATTATGTACCTTTGCCAAAACCAAATTGACAAATCGTAAAAATGTCCTATAATATGTAACTCAACGTGCTCTACAACATATAGGAAACCAGAATTTCAGTCTCGCCAGTCACTCGACATAAACTACTAGTAACGCTCGTCGCTTCGACTCGCTTAACCCTCGACTGAAGAGTTAAATTTATTTACATATCATTTTATTTTATTTCTCTGAGATAACTGATGGTAACATCAGATGTAACTGAGTATACGTGTTACAATACTATGATCCTAATCTGTAATAATATAGTTAACTTAGGATTTTAATTATTCTCAGAATTAAGATCGTGATTTTCCTCGACTGCTTATAGAGCTAAGCGTTTTCCAAAATAGTGTCGTGGAATTCTCTCTTTTGCAGCACAATAGTTAGAAAAATGTATTTGTTTCATACCTAACAATATGAGCAAAAATTCATCTTTTAATGAAAATTTATCAAGAAAAATAAATAATAGGTACACTCATATGCATCATATGGTTACGTCTTTTGACCATTGGTCTTTGATCCGACAACAAACAAACAAACTATTTTTTTCATATAACCCTTCCTTCAGTCGAGGAAATAACGTTTATTGAAATGCATGACCTTCTCAAAATCTGATTGAACGAGGTCTGCACCCACAAAATACTGATCGACTTAAAACCCAGATTCTCCCAACTCGATTGGACGAAGGCTAGGTTTTGGAAAACGTTTCAATAGCTGAAATTTCAAACAGATACAATCTGATTGGTCGAAAGCTGGATATCGAAAATCCCCGATTGGCGAATTTTTCAAACTGAAGAAATCTGATTGGTCGAAAGCCCAATATCAAAACCTTCTGATTCGTGGAATTTCGAAGCTGAAAGAATCTAATTGGTTGAAAGTTCGATATCGAAAATCCCTGATTGGCTGAATTTCCAAAGCCAAATAATCTGATTGGTTGAAAGCCCGATATGAAAAACTCCTGATTAGCTGAATTTTGAAGCTGAAAGAATCTGATTGGTCGAAAGCTCGATATCGAAAATCTCTAATTGGCTCAATTTCTAAGCTGAAAGTACATGATTGAACGAAAGCCAGATATCTTCGATATCTGAGTATTAATCGTTGGGCGGGTGTTCTTTTAACCCTAATGTTCTTTTTACTCCGAGCAATCAAGCAAACAAACAAACGCATTTTAATTCATATGACCCTCCCTTCAGTCGAGGGAATAAAGTCGGAACAGAGATATAGATCACGGTACATTGTCTTTTCTGAAACAGACTCAAGCCAAAATGGAACAAGTTGGGACTCCGTCTCAGTTTTGCTTTTCTGGCAACTATTTGTTCTATATTGTGAAGCCTTTTTCATTCATATGAGATACTTATTGGCATAGGTTCATACTTTGACAACGACGACTGGTGTACCACTATTCAAGTAACGACATACTGCGCGTAGTGTTGTAAAATCGCCACCGAGTAGTAGTGCCACTATTGGAATATCATTGTCAAATCCTGAAAAGTGTATTATAGATATAGATTAGTTGTGAAGATTGTCAACAAATAATTTGGTCATGCATACTATTCCATAGACCATGGTCCAACATTTTTGACTTCAGTTCTCGACTAAGTTCGTTTTCGATACCCTGGCGGTATTTAATAATACTTTTCCAATCATTTGACTTATGATCGAAGAGAAGAAAATGAGTGTGATTCGGTTCTAAGTTGTAATTGGCGTTGACTTGATCGTATTTGTGAATGTAAATAGGAGACTGTTCCTGGGGCTTCTAATAAAATGAAAGTAGTCGCGTTCATACAGAAATAGATCTTTCTCTCTTATTTGATGATAATTACTAAAGGTATCGAATTAGTAGTTGTACTGGTCTTGGAAATTTGTCGAATTTTTTTAGCAAACCAGGATAAAGATTCTTGTCTTTTATTATCATGCTTAGCACGTCCCATCTCAGGATCGTGCGCTTCGTCACTGCTCTGTGTAGAATGAGCCAATTTTATTTCCTTCTTTTGTAGTTGACAGTGACCTAGTGAATAACACAATATACTATGTCGAAAATGACAAGTTACATTAATGTTGGTGTTAAAGATACCTTGTGAACACGGCCAGGTGCACAAGCCAATACAAGGAATATCATCTTCAGAGACGTCAGTACGCAGCCCTTTTCCTATTAAGCGATTCATAGCGTGATTTATGCCATTTGTCATAACCCATGCATCTAAATGTTCGATGATATGAATAACAGAAATATGAAGTTTTCTTAAATTATTTACTTGTTATCTTTGCCGTTTCAACTAAACCACGTTGAATGGCACGCTTGATTTCTTCTTGATTGGCCAAAGTCTCATTGACTTGAATCTCGACACCGACTTGACTCTCGATATCGTCTCGTTTCGCGATATTGACATTATCCGTCTGGATTGAGAGAATAAGATGACGAAGAGGAAGCTGGTAGGCTTCAATAATGAATTGTGCCACGGCCTTTTCTGTCAACTTGGGTGAAAGCTCAATGAACTAAAAAAAAAGAGATATGAATTAGTTAACATTTTGCATGAAACGGGGTAAAATTGCACAAATCTAAAGAATGGAGAACATTTTACTTCAGTTATAAGAGTATCATTATGTTCCAAGGGAAAAATGACTGACTTAAGACACTTTAAAATTATTTTAAGTCAAGTAAGTCAATTAGATCATTTAAAGTCAGTTAAGTCAAGAAAGTCACGAAAATCATTTGTAAAGGAGCATTAAATAAGGAATAAAAAGCTGTGATTTTTTTAGTCTTGACGACACATTCTCTAAAACATTTTCTTCACATTTTTGTCTACTCAAAAAGTGAGTACACTCTAGAATCGGTCAGTGTGTCCGGCCGGCCGTCCGTTTACACGATAACTTTTGAAAGGAGAGTCCGATCGCGATGAAATTTTCTACACAGTTTAGTCTCAACAATATCTCAGTCAAGTTCGAAGATGAGAATGATTGGCAGGGCCATTGCTGAGTTATTGCAAAAATAGTTATTTTTCCCTATGCTTCCCTATGAGAAGATCGACCTATCTCCGCTTTCGTAAAACAATTTTCCTATCATAGTCAAATAAAATCCAAACTATTACATACCATTCGATAGAGAATTTCACGAGCTACAAAATGGTATATAAAACATACGGAAACAAGAATGCCAACTGAGCTAGTGCAAAGATACTTAAACGGAAGTTGGTTCTGTTTTTGTCCACGCTCTAATTGATCCACACTTAGAGCCCTATCTTCCGATCACAGAGATGATAGTTCGATGTTTTCTAGGGTGGAGAACTCGAATCTGGGCTCCATTTGCCTCGAAATCCCATTGGTTGAACAGTAACCAATAGAAATCATGTTATAGGAAAAACGAGTTTCTTAGTATAAATCAATGTGAAGAGTTCAAATCTGAGCTGTATTCATCTCTAAATCCTATTGGTTGAGCAGTAGCCAATAGAAACCAAGTGTTTATAGACAAGGTTTGCCACGATCATTTTTATGTTCCCACATTCTAGAACGACTCATCTGTCTCATTCACTTTTTGAAGTACACATAACTCTCGGATTTAAATCCGAGGTTTCCACATTTATTTTTTCAATGATGCGCACATAAAATAGGCGAAAGAAAAAAATGCATGTATGTTGTAGGCAAAATTGGCCTATCATTTTGAGAACTTCAGAACTAACAAAGAAAACCAATAATACAAACACGAGTGGAGTTAAGGATGATGGTGAAAGTGAAGAAGAAGATCTGAATGAGAGAGTGGAAGTAATCTGCTAACGACAAAATCACTGTCAATGGTATTTTTGATCTAAAATATAAAATATATTATCAAAAGAAGTTTTCTTGGATATGTATAAATAGCACAAGTTTAGACGTTTATAATCCATATAA